TATCTACGTTATTGCATCAATATTACATGAATTATTCTGACTTCAGAGTGACTCCGAAAGTTGTATTTTAATATTGAATTTTTAATCTGTTCCGGATTACTTTCATTATTTATTCTTCTAACGATTAGTATGTTATATTTGCTGATGTAAATATAGAATCTGTTTAATTACACTGTGAAATTAGTCATTTAAAAAAAAAGATCCACGCAAATTTAACATGCTAGTTCAGTGGACTGCAAATTGAATCTGACACTGCAAAAGGCTACCGAAGTAAATAGACATAGGCACTGTAGAGCCGACTAGTTGCCAAGCTATGATACAAACGAGTCAACGAGTTGCTATTGAACAAGAAAGAAATAAACAAATAAAGTTGTATTTCTTGTATTTTGTCTAGACGGAATGTTGCCCATCTTATTATTTACGTTATTATTGGTTTATTTTCAAATTTAGTGTAATTTTACGAACCTATATGATTTTACGATCAGAAGAATTTATTACAAAAATAAAAATGTGTATACGAAAATAACGATCCTCAGCAGCAATAACTACTTATATTTTTTACATTTTCCTCCAAATGAAGCGTGTTTATGATCTAGTTTTTATGTTTACCTTCACAATAAAGCTTAAAAGGAAGAGAGGTATGAATTCACTGTGACCTCCCCTTATAGGGTCGATTCCATTTTTCTTTCTTTTAATGGCATAAGCACTTTTTATTATTATACCGAAGGTATATTGGAATTTTAAAGAAATAAATACAGACTTTGAATTACGTTTATCACAAGAACTAGATATTTACTTCGGGTACCTCTTTTGTGAAATAAACGTCATATAAAATATAAAATAAACAATAACAAATTCAAATATTGGTTTCTATTTTTTATGTTATTTTTTAGTTTATTGATTAAAATATTCTTCTACCAAGGGATTCTTCTAAGCCATTTATGTCTGTAGGGAAAGATTTTTTTCAAATGGACCATTAATATAGCCTTTAATTTAATAGATTTTGATAGATCTTGATCATAGTAAGCTTTATAGAGAATATAGTTATAATAATATCAGCCAATAACTGTCCGTTGCTCAATATAGGCTTTTCCCTTGAGGGGTTATGGTTATATAAGAATATACAAGGCGAGAAGGTTCTAGAATGGTAATCGTGGTGTAGGCCACCCCTTCATTAGATGGAGTGACGACCTCAATTGTTGGGAGTTCAGGTGTTCAGACTTCAATTCAGGTGGCTCAGAACCGTTCCTTGTGGCAGTTTATGGGGCCGCCTATGTTCAGGAGTAGAGAGATAATGGCTGAGATGATGATAATGATGATGCAAGTATAATTATGTTTCAAGTTAATAGTAGTCTTTAAATTACGTATAGCAATGTAGTAACATAGTAACTATTATCCATAAGGATTATTATAATATATTAGCAAGAGTCAGCACTAAAGTCCTTTAACAGATCTCAGATTTCCAAAGTCTCTAATCTTAATAATACTCTCGGAACTCTTGCATACATTCAACTAATTTTAACCTTTTTCGATGGTTATCTTAATTCTTGATCTTATCTTGTTGACCGATCTATGTAGGTTCGTAGGCAGTACCATTTCGGTGTTTTGGAAATTTAGATCTGGCAATGAACCTTAAAGGTTTTTTTTACAACACAGGAGGCAAACGAGCTTGCGGCTCACCAGATGGTAAGTGACTACCGCCGCCCATGTAAAATGTTTTTGGTTTTTGTACTTACGAAGGCTTTTTGGGACTAACAATATACCATGCTTATCTATAACTTTTATTTATTTACTGAAGCATAAGCAACAAAGCATACATTTATATCAACATAAAACACATAATAATATGGTTACATTATAAAATGCTACCTTAATTAAAGGCTGCCACTACACGCGTATTCATTTTCAAACAAATGCATTGAAAATAAAATTAAACTTGTTTTTACTGTTTCAATAAGCGATCATATTTAACCAATGGGAAAGAAAGGGTCTCGAATCACGCACTTTGTACAGCCAAACTTATCGTAAGGTGAGCATCCCTTAAAATAAAGCTTCAACCTCAAAATCTATTGTCGTACGTAGTCTGTAGTATGCTCTTTAGCAGTAGATATATAATTTACAGTGACAATTTATTTACTTTAAAATATTCAGTGTATGTATTGTATTGTATTGTAGTGACTGATGGCTGAACTTGGAACATCTGTGCAAAAACGACCAGGCTGTATTACTATTATACCTAATGGCTGAAATAATGATAACAATATTTATTATATATCTACCTACTGCTATGCTTTTGTATTTCCTACAAATAAGATAAATTTAATAATACGGATGGGTATTATTAAATTTATCTTATTTGTCTTTTTAGGCTATGATAACATATTGCGCCAAATATCCGTATATAATTACATACACAAAAAATCTTTTTGGGTTGTAATGGTTGGGTTAGGTTATAAAAATAGTTTTTGTGAGAGTATCAATTCCGATCAGTTACACATTATGCGAAAACTTTTGACAATGAAGCCGTTTGACCTGCTGGTCATTGGTATATAGATTATGTTTACGAGTAAATTACCCATTACGAGTAAGCATAGAAATTATTGCTACATTTAATTTATTATCATTCAGTGCAATTATTATTTTTATTAATAATAGTATAACCAGTGACAAATCACCAAAAGTGATTTATTTCTCTTTCGATTTTCACTTATTGTCATACTCGTTATTATTTAATTTGATTTGAATTATGATTTTATGATAAGTGCAAGAGAATAAAAACTTTAAAGCAATATGATAATGTTTAATATTTCTTTTAAATATTGTGACTTCAACGATTGCCTACCTATTTGATTTGTTTATATTTTCTGCTTTTCCTTCAACAATTGTCAACTATATAACCTACGAAATTAATTTAGAAAAACCTGTTATTGGCCATACTACTTTGTTATAAAATGTTTGTTAATTTTATTTGCAAACCGCTGTTTAAAGTTTCTATTCACCAGCGTTAGGTGTACTACTTGCGATGCCTCTGGTGTTGCGGGTGATCATGGGTGGCGGTGGTCACTTACCATCAGGTGAACCGCATGCTCATTTGCCCCGTGTTATAAAAAAAAAAAAACTCGCTCTGTAGTCGGTTGTCTCATACGATTTCACTCTTTCTCTCTTCTAACCGAGCGCAGTTGATGACTTACATCACGACGTATCTGGGGTAACGTATGATTTGGCGTGGCATATGAAATTTCACTTGTGACATGTGAAATATTTATAAAGCAACAGCTGTGTTTATAGCCCGTTCTTTTTAGCTGAAATTCTATTCCGTGTTGGGCGGTAGATTAAAAAAATATATATAAATATTTAAAATTAGTTTTATTAATTTATTCTTTGTAGTATCTAGACTCAGTAGTAGTACCTAATTAATATAATTCACATATTTTTGATTACCCAGTATCCTCAACAGAAAAAATAAAACAATTTTATAGAAAAGTCTAGCGTCGAACAACCTCCCTATAGTGTAATCTCCTCTAAGCTCCCGACTAACAAATTGCTTCCAGGCCACTGACTGACGAGACATCTGTCTCTATGTTGTCAGCATTCTGATTAATAATGCAAATCGAGAATCATTCCGTTACCTTAACCCTGTTAACAGTTCAGTCGTAGTGTGATTTATTAGGACACCTATGTGTAATACTTTCTTAATTCAAGTGAGTACATTTTTTATAACTATGACCAATTTTTCATCCAATTTAAAATAATATTTATAATATTTTGATTTAAAAAGTAAATAACTGAACCAATTTTTTTAATATTTCCATGAGATCAATCTGTTAGCATATTCTTTTAGATAAAAAAAAAAGAACCAAATCGGTTTACAATTGACGGAGTTATGAGGTAACAAACATAAAAAAATACAAAAATACAATACCTCCATCATTTTGAAGTCGGTTGAAAGGAAAGAAATTGTCTGTTCCCCATATTTTGTGCGTGTGTTACGCTATATTTTCGTTATTTGGAACCGATTTTGATCATTATTTCGCAGCTTTTAAGGGAACAAAGTATTATCGATTTTTATGGTTACATGGGTCTTTTACATGGGTTTTGTATAATAATTTAGATTGAGTTCCTCAAGAAAACTGACTTTTCGTCGTAAAGTTATTACCTTGATTTAAAAACTAAACTCCTGAATTAAATTTAATAAAATTTCTGTCGGACTAATTTATAAGTATATCCTATCAGATAAAAAAAGAATTTTTCAAATCAGTTTATAACTGACGGAGTTATGAAGTAAACATAAACAACTGAATTGTAAACTTCCTTCTTTGAAGTTGGTTGAACATACAATGGGAAACTGGAGAATTCCAGTTTATGTAAAAAAATCTCTCGAGATTCTTGTCTAGTTGCTAGTCATTGAATTTAAGTTATTTTGTTGCCTACGACAAATCCTTCTCAAGGTTGTTTCACTATTTATACTATTTGACATAAATTTATTCACGTGCTACTGTTCAGTATTTTGTAAGTACTTAATTATCTGTAAATGTAATATGTAGATGGAGTAAAAATTAGTTGACTCGACTCTTGACTATATAAGTTATAAAGGAATTACTTACCTATAGCTATTTATCACGCAAAATTATATTATTATTACATTAGTATCCTTCCCTACCTAGTAAATACTAGGTAAAAAAATTTAGCCTAATAATAAAAATATACTAAAAATGTAGGTGCAGAATTTCGTAAGGTTTGTCTTGAATATCCTTATATAACTCTGCACTTAGTTTTTCATGAACAAGGTGGATAGTGTTAGGCATTTTAACATTTTCGGGTACATACGTAGTATAGAACGTAGCTGTGAATTATTTATGTAGTATCTACCTATAACAAAATACTATAGCAAACGTTTGGTAAAGTAAAACAATTCATTCGCTTCACTTTTTTAAATCAGAGGGGATCAATAATAAAACATTGTTAATAAATGAGTTTCGACAATCATAAAATTTAATTTATTACAAGTAAATGTACAAATATTATTATAATATAATCTATAATTATTATAATATAATTTCTTATTTCGAGACACATGACAAAAATTACACAATGTTATACAGTTATTTTTGACATAACATTTGGTACTTACAGGATTTCGTCTTCATCATTTATAGCTGGAATGGTTACCACAGGCTATGTCTATGGCCTGTTATAAAAATATTTTATGGCTATTATAGACGTAATAATCGGCTCAGCATGTACCTATATCATGAAAGTACTAAAGTTTATTAAACTATTACAATAATTTACAAGAAAATGGTGTCATGAATTTTATTCTGGTCATTAATAAATTTGTATGTCATATCAATATTTAAATATTTTTCTTTTATGGAAATGACAAGGTGTTTCTCATTGTTCATTGGTAGTTCACACTTGACAATTAGGGGAGAGGGATTGTCCATAATGGGGAAGTTAATTCTCATTGCTAGTAATATAGGGTATATTTACATTGGTTAATAAGGTTAGGTTGACATCCACGCGGTTGCCTCTGAAACTATCGTAAATAATTCTTGTTGATCCGTTACAATGTGCTAACTGACCTGATTTTATCCTCATCTATCACCATTTACGGATAGCTCAGTCAGTATCATTTCAATATCATTCATACCAGAGGGAGGCTTTGTACAAAAATCGATTGCTTGAGTACCTCTGTCCTATTCGAGTTTTTACTGTGATGCAGTTGTGTTTCGGTTTGAAGGGTGGGATATTGCAGATAATTTACAGGGCACAGAGGCGTAACACCTTAGTTCTCAGTAATGGCAATGTATGGGGGTAACATGGGCGAAACAGTTATATCCATGTTACTGTTTATGTCTATAGGCCAGCGATTCCTAAAGTGGGATCCGTAAAAAAGTTACTAGGGCTCCGCGAAATTATTTATACAGTGAAACAATTTCATTCTTCACATTTAAAATTAAAGGAAACTATAAAGTGTTATAATTTTAAAATGTTTGTAATAAAAGCTTTTGTTTTTATTTATATTATATTGTTTTTGATTTGAAACCGTTTGATATGGGGTTTCATAAAATAAAAGGTATTTGGTGGGCGTTCCATTATTTTTAAAGTTTAGGAAGCCCTGCTATAGGTGACGGTTGCTACTTATACTTGTCATTATGTGGGCCGTCAGCTTGTTTGCGATTCTGAGTTGCATAAAAAAAATCATTAAGAGTTGATAATTTCTGAAGGTGAAGAATAAGCATTTTTTTATTATTTTAATATAGTCAATGAAGTTCGTTAAAGGTCATTCGCCAGAATATTTCTGAATACTTTATTAATGTAAAGGTCATGAATTACTTGTAAATGTTATAATTTTGAATGCAAAGAAAATTACCGTGGTAATTACTGTCAGAAATAGACTGTAGTCTTTTTTGTATCCAGCATAGCTTTACATAGTCCATTGTCCCATTGCCAGACTGTTTCATGTGACTGATAAACATTCTAAAAAATGTCGACTACTTTTAAGAGGCTTTAGCCATTTTATTTCGTACTACACTGATAGATTTATTGAAAGCGGTATACTACTCTGACAGTTAGTATTCAGCCTTGCAATGTAGCAACTCATTTATAGGAAATATTTGCTCAATATTGTAGAATTAAATATTATTTATATACATGTATTTATACATTATAATAAAATTGTAAGAGAGATCGCCTCTGTACATTCAATATTAATAAAAAAAAAAAACTCCTGCTGCGTAGGTAATCATTGATTGATTAAAAGGAGCTAAAATATTTTTACAATCTTTATATTGGTTCGTTTTTTTATAAGTAAATATTACGTAAAAACAAATTTTGATGATAAATTAAAGCTACACCTTCAGCTTTAGAAGACTATCTATTCGTATTTCTAAAAATGTAAATTTCAATTAAAAATTTGGATGCTTACACTCAGTCATGCAAAACTAAATTAATTTAAACGTAATTGGCACAGATATCATATTATATTCTCGGTTACATATAGAATAGGTATGTTTATATAGGTATTTCATTCCTATGACATGCTTTTCTTGAACCCTATGATTTTCTTTGGTGTCATGCATTATCCTTGCGCTATTTTTCAATCGAGAATACATGTTTTCGGGTATTTCCACTACATGCTCACACTATTATAATAGGTACATAATGAAATATCAAATGTGAGTACTATGAGCCAGGTAAATCTGAGAGCCTACCATGAAATGTTTTTCGAAATTTCGGAGCTAAACGAAACAGAAATTTGATGTTAAATTTACATAACATAAACATCATGTAATGTTTGAAAATATTAAAAGTGTTAAAGTTATTGTTCCTTTGGACTTTTATGATAGGATGTATGAAGAACGAAATGTTAAACTCCATTTATTGGTCTGATTTTGGTATAAAAAAAAACATGAAATTGAGTCCGAAATTCCGGAATTTCATTTCATAGTAGATCCGCTGGAACCGGAAAAATAATTCTAATATTTTAAATAAATATATGTAAAATTATTATCTAATGAAATATTTTTATTCACATTTATTTCTCCCGTTGCATGTTAATATTCCTCATCATCATTGTTCTTTCTTAATCCTTTCTTAACTGAAATAAATAGTTCAGGAGACAACATATTAATACTAAATTACGATATGCTATAATTTTATAGTACAAATAGCGTTTTGTTTCCCAATTGTTTGCCTTATATTTCTACTTAACTACAAACATTATTCTTAAGCTAAATATATAAATTAACTCGTTTGGCATCTTCTAAATTTACTTGTATGCTAATATAGATTTATTTAAAGCACTAGGTGTAGTATGTTTCAATAGAATTTAATATAAACAAAGATTGTGTCCCATAAATAAAACAGACTTCAATTGTGACAAAATCAGTTGTTTTGATTTTTAAAACTAAACTACCGGACAGATATTGTTAAAATTCTACAGGACTAAACTGTAAGTATAAAATATATTAAAAAATATTTTTTTAAATCGATTTAAAACTGACGAAGTTATGAGGTAATAAACATAAAAAAGAAAATACAGCCGAATTGGGAACCTCCTTCTTTTTTAAAATTAGTTGAAAAAGGGTAATTAGGTTCTTCTTGTTAACAAATTATTTCGGAAATATTGCGTAAATGAAATTAGTAACAAATTAAACCAATCAATCAGTTTATCGATTTTTTATTCAGACTGTCTTATGGTCAGATTATTTTTTTTTTCATTTTATTTATTCGTAAACAAAATAATAAAATTTATAAGAAATGCATGAATTAATCGATTTAGAGTCATCTCTTAATAAGAATAACATGTATGTTTGAATTTACGATAGTTAAATGTTCATTTGTTTACATTTTTATTAAATTCTATTAAAACAAAGCTTATAAGGTACTACTACTTTTTAAAGAATCGATTATTATAATAACGGTATTCCAATATTTCTTTTTATTTCTAATAATAAATCGACTACCTCACATATGCCCTAGCTATTTACATTTTTACAACTTTTCAAAACTGCATTAACTGGCACTACTACACTTTTTATAATTTTTTGCAGTAATTTTTAATATCCATTCTTTTTGTCAAGCGACTAGTATGTTAAAAAGGTTTGATGTCAATACTATTCGGGCCAAATCAGCTTTTGGGCACAAAATTTACGCGTTTGAATAATTTTCAAAATCTACATTTAATTTTAAAAACTTTATTATCCAATCAGTAGCTGGAAGCAAAAAAACAGCTAGCGAAGCTACTTGTAAATAAAGTTAGTTAATATGAGTTTTGCTTAAGCTTTGTTATTATTATACTTATTCTTAATAATCGTGCATTTTCAGAAAACGTACTTAAAAAAGTTCTGATATAGGAAGTTTATTTAAATATAATAAATTATATTCATTATAATTTAAACGCTCTTAATGTTTTGGCATCGATTACAATGAGAAATTTGGAGCTGTTTTAGGTCACTATGGTTTTTTTAATACCCCAATACGTAAGGATAAGTGTACTTGCACACATTAAAGAATTAACAAACAAGCTTATTACTATGTCTATACTTACAATTTTCGCTACATTTTTCGAATTAGATCAAATTCTCATCTTTTCTAAATTATGCCTACGTGCAATCTAGGGAAAACAAGAATATTTAATAAGATTTTTCATATACAAACCATTATATTCGTAGTTGTTATTATGAAACAATATACAGTTTTGTATTACTTTGTTTTAATTATAATGATATATTCAAGTAATGGAAAACTATTATTGGATAAGAAATTTTAAGTGACTGTTTAATAATTACATAAGTTCATCACGACATTATATAGACAATAAGTTGTTGATAATGTTTGATACATTATTAATAACTTTATGGCACTCGTAAGTTATAGGTGTATATTATAATATGTAGTATGTATATACAGTGGACTATAATTAGGTAGTGGTAATCAGTCAGTAAGCATAATATTATTTATTTTTAATATTATCGAAATAAATACTTGTAACTTATCTAATCTTAGCCACAACACAGCTTTATAAAATGCATCTATTTAGTCTCTAAAATGTTCGGGAGTAGACTCTTCGAAACTTGTTGTAACCGAAAATGGTCCATTCGATGTTGATTTTTGTTCACTGGAATTAGCAGTGATATTATTTTTATTTTCGAAATCAGCATTACAGAAAGCGATAGGCGTTTGAGATTTATCTTCGAGTGTAGAAATAGTGTCCATTGAAGATTTTATTTCAATTGTAGAAGGATGAAGTAAGGCGGGAGAGGCAAGCGACGCAACAGGTGGGGCGTCCTCTTCGGGCAAAGTGCGTAGGCGCGAGAGCCTCCCCCGCCCCCCGCCTCACACTGGTGACTGCTCGCCGCTCGCGCTGCCGCTCGTGATGTAATCCTGCGCATAATGAGGTCGAATCTGTGATACTATCCTCTAAAGCTATTTCTAAAATTAATATTTCGACTGGATATCACATAGAAATCTCGATTCTAAGAACCAATTTTTAATAATTTTGACTTAAATAGTAGATTTAAGTCAAAAGTACGTATTAGAAAAACATATTAGAAATTTTAGACATAGGGTTAGAGAATGATGCCACGGAATCCATCCCCATATTGTTAAATATTGTTATGCTAGAAATATATGTATGGAATGATCTAAATACTTATATTGCTACGGGAACTTAGAAATCATGTTGGAAAGAGATTGTCAGTAGCTAGCTAGCTATATATCGCTAGCAATGGGCTTTTTTTAAAAGCCCCATTGTTAGCGATATATCCTATCAGATAGACCACGCGGTTTCCCCTATAAAACATCGTGATCAATTCTTGTCGAACTCATCACGATGAGCTAACTGACCCGCTTTCGTCCTCACTTATCATCCCTTACTGGTGGCTCGTCAGTATATACCTACCGATAGCGCAGGCGAGGTTACCATTCTATAATCAGCCATAAAAAAAAAAAAAACTTAATAATTATTGTAGTCACCTCAGTATTGATCATTTTTGGAATTTTTTCAATATTTCTTTTGTCTTAGCTTATTATATTTATTTATTCACTTATAGGGAAATATCTCATGCGGTAGTTTGATAATTCGATTGCGAAATTCTTGAGTTATTTTGAATAGTTTCATGATATTGATAATTAGTGTTTTATTAAAACGAAGTTGTTTACTAAACGATATTACACAGTGCCATACGGATATAATTCATTTAAGTAGGTTGCTTAAGGCTAAATAGACCTAACCGTTGCGTGAATACGGATAGCACTTCCATTCCTGAAGATTACGGAGGGGAGGCCTGATTAGCTCTTATTCACACAAGAGCCATTTTATTGCGAGTATCGCGTACGTACTTAAGATAGACGGAAAGCACGATCTAATAAATATATAATAAGATAAAGTAAAATTGAAATCCTTTTTCTGTTGAAAATGAGATGATACCTACATTATAATGGCGTGATATTCACAATAAATAACGTCCATGTGAATGAGTGGCCGTATGGTCCTGGCATAGAATAGGCCATTCCTTTCTTTCCTGTGGGTGTCGTAAGAGGCGACTAAGGGAGGGCGAGCAGCGTCCCTCTTAAAACATCTCTAAAGCTTAACTGCGGTTGCCAATCCACCTGCCAAGTATGGCAACTACTGGCAAACCCCCCTGAAGGAAGGCTTATGTTCAGCAGTGGACAGCTAAAGGCTGATATGATGATGGTGATGATTTGAATGAGTATTTACAACTGAGTTGTACGTCTATATAGTAAAATTATTAGTTTTAACACATCTAACAGCCTACTAAAAGTTGTGTCTTAATTAATATAACTTCCTTGGCAATTTATCATCAAGTTATGCTAGTTGATGTACCGGATCTTAATGTTTCTCGTAGTCGAATTTACATTCCGAAACTATTGTGTCTAGTTTAAAACTAAACGGGGTCGATACTGTAGCGTCATCTTACTAGAGCATCTGATACTGCAGCAAAATATTTATTATGTCTTGATTAAAAAAAAAAAATAGTAACATAAAAAAACAAGGTGTCAGGGCTGAAAAAAGATGTAAGAGAGAGATGGACGGATGGAAAAGAAAGTAATATGGCTGTCATGTGGGGAAAAAGTATTTGTGTGAGAATTACATTTTTGGAGTATAAACGCTGCGTGGAAAGATTTATATTTTATAATATAGATAATTATATAATATAATATAGAGATATTAATATAATATAGAGATGTATAAAATAGAGAAGAAACAATATATAATAAATAGATCGTCTTATATCGCTATTTTATTTCAAATTACAAAAAACAATATGAATTTAATTTTTGATACGAAAAGTAAAACTTATTATAATTCATAATGGTTCATTAAACATTAATTTCGCGAAATTATTAACATTAAATGTTAAGAGATAAGTTTAGAGATGAGAGAAAGAGAGAGAGAGAGAATAGTTCCTTAGAATCGACCCCATTATTATGAAATCTACGACATGGTTGGCTTTGCTGCATGAGACAGGTTAGGTACTTTGAAAATCGTGCGGAGTATGAAACTGCGAAGTAAATTCGAATTGCAATCAACTGAAAATCACATCGTATAGACATCAAATAATATAAGGTCCATTTGTCGTGTATTCGATGTGATTGCGACTTGATCCCAATTCGATTGCGTTATAAGTCACCTCGCGTTTTCTTTTCGTAAAATTCATGCATTACGTAATTAGAGATTATACGTGAAACTGTCGATAAAATTAGTGTCATGAAACTAGAAATGTACCTATATATAATAAAACTAACAATTTGACCTGGCTTCGCACAAGTAGTAGAATTTAAAAAAATATATATATATAGTTAATGTATGTTACTTGCTGATAACGTAGCTTTCTATAGGTGAAAGTATTTTTATATTGGTTGAGCAGTTTTTGAGTTTATCCATTATAAACAAACAAAGAAAAAATCAAATCGTACCTCTTTATAAATCTTTATAATAGTATAAACATAAAAGTCATATTCAGAGATTATATTGAAAAACCAATTTAATACGACTTATTTCGTAATGTAAATTAGTCTTTAAATACCTAAGTACTTACGGCGTGAAGATGCCTTCCATCATAGTGTAGAGCGAGCGAGGTTCTCGGTACCAACAGCGTTGTAGTTGTAGTTTCCGACGCTGCAGATTCCCTCTTTGAAGGGTGACTGTATAAACTGGAGGTACCATACTTTGTTAACTACTCATAATTATAATGTACCTAAATATTGTAATTAAATAGTTTGTTTATTACGTTTTGAAGGCTAAAGTGCTATACCTACCTGTCTAATTTAAATCATGGACGGTTAAAAAGAAAGACGGTGGGAGATAAAATATATACCACATAAAACTATACAATAATAGTTGTTTCTTTATAAAGGAATTGAAATATGTACGTACGTATATATTTGTTATTAATTCAGAGATATATTTCTTATGACTACCGCCGGTGTAATCTGATCGAAACGTCGAGATAACCCCAGGTAAATTATTATATTTTACCTAAATGATCGTGTTAATTTCCCTCGCTTATAAACCACGAATCATGCAACGCGAAAGTCTAAAAGTTAATTACACATTGGCGCCTATTATTATTTGATTCTTACTTGTATTTCTTTTTGTTTTAATAAGTTTATTACTGTAATTACTTTTTACGTATTTCTACTCTTACAGTATATTAGTACAGTGTAGTTTATAGTAATACTATTAGAATAAATTTATTCTTATCAATTCTATAAGTTCATATTCATTAAAGATTTAATAAAAATAGTTTAAAATGTCACTAAAATGTGCTCGTTATATTTAATTGATGTCTCTAAATAAGATTTGGTTCTCATTTATCATATAAATGGAGCAACGACGATCCAATTTGAATTATGTTCAATGGAAAGGGATAACAAGATTCGTTATATTCAGAATACACAGCCTACGTCGACTGTCAATAGATATGCAAATATATTACACATTTCTCAAAAGATCGCTTTTTTAGATCTGAACACCTGACTTATAGCTAAATATTACGAGACATGAATTTTAAAATGAAGAAAATTGGAATATAAGCAGTTTATTCTTCTGACATTACAATTTTTATACGGTGTGTTTTTTTTAGAATTGAAATTTAGATACTTACGCTAAATATCTTCTAGTCATCTTAAAAAATTCAAATATTTTGTTCATGAAACATAATAAGAAAATATATGAAATTGTTTCAGTTAATTTAAAAGTAAACGTTAGTCTTTGTATAAAATAATGAATATATTCTTTTTTTACTGACTATTAAATCAAAGCAGTTGCTTTTATAATAGAAAAATATTTTAATAATTATAGGGTTGGGGATGAAGCTCATAAGTTCAAAAATATTCAGTTAATTTTAATCATATTGTTGAAGTAAATTTTTCAAGACATAACTTTTCTAAATTTCTTTAGGTGTTTTATATTTATTGAATTATACATTAAATGTAGTGAATAAATTTGTTGAAATTTACCATAGTTTAGAAGAAAAATTAAATTTCTTATTTAGGTAGGTTTAGTTTTTATAAAATTTTAGTGTAATAGTGGACCAAAAGAATCCGTTACTTATATAAAATGCATTGCAACATGCAGGTAGATAATATAAAAATAGTCACAAGTATTTAAAATTAGATCAAAATAAAAGGGTAAAAAGGAACATAAAAAGATATCACAGACAATTGGAAAGCACTGGCACAGTAATGAAAATAAAAACAGTTAATAAAGCGTATTACACATTAATTTATTAAAGTAACAAAAAAAAAATAATAAAACATATCCAAATCCACATTACATCCTTTTCTTTAATTTCTTCATAAATGCAATAAGTCCATTCCAGTAAGCAAATTCGTTGAATCTTATCCAGAACTGACTCTTCAGGCTTCTTCATACTGTGAGCCTATTGGAAAATAAAAAAAGACGATCAAATATGGATTTGGAAATAGGGTACGGTACAAGCAAGAAGTTTAAAGCGAGGAGTTAGGCAATAACAAGAGTTTCAAGTTGCAGTGCTATGTGAGGAACAAGTATTGAAACAAAAGTACAACATGCAGAAAAAGTTTTACTTTGCATGACATTGTGTCACAGCTATTTATTATTATTTATATTATATTTAATTTTTTCACTAATATCAAATCTAAAATTTAATTAGTAAGTGTAGAAAAGATATTTCTAGAAAAATAATAAACAATCTAAAATCTATAAGTTGATAATAAGATTCTAAACTATGAAAGACCTTATATTATAAATTTACGGTAGTAAGTAGACTTACCGTATGCTTTCAGTCCTCGATCTCGGAGACCAGTCCTTGGAGTAAGAAGTACCTCTTCTTCGTCCACCTCCAATAGTTCTGCCCGTTTTCCATCGCTCGACATGGTAGCCGATTGCATGACGGACTTCTGTATTCATGAAGCAGTAGAAGAGGGCTACTGTGAAACCCTGTTGAAATTTTAAACTTTAGTAAGGTATCAGATTCAGTATCACTCTAATTCTTAGTTAATAGAACTCTTTTCTTTCATAAATGTGTAAGGAAATATTAAGAGAAAATTTTCCAGAGATGTTCCCAACTACAGACATTTGAGTCAGTTATTGGATCGTTGGTTAAAACCACTTTGGATTCTCTTCGAGACTGCGCCAAGACTGTCAATATCATTTCACATTTGTATCAAGTATTTGGTATTAAGTTACATATATAATATATATGATAAAATATATATTAAATCCTGTTGTAGAACAAATGAATGAACATTAACGTTCTAAACCTTAGGTTTTGTTATTTAGGTTCTAAATTGATCACGCTCACTATTTATTCAATACACCTGCAAAGTCCCTTTATGTTCCTAAGACTTATTAAGTCTCATTTCTACACAATATCTAACGGTCAGTTAGTAAATCACCCAAAACTGTGGTCAGAGTTTGTTACTAGACTTAGTCGGGATTAATTTCAAATAACTTTTGGGGTTAATTTTGAGTAACTTTATAGGTAGCTAATTAAGCAGATTTAGTTCGTTAACAAAATCAAAATTATGTTACAATTTAGGGTTATATAATACCCATTATATATGGTATTTTACGGATTTACTTGTAATGGTAAAAATATTGTGTGAAAGAGCGGAAAAAAGACTTGAAATGAAATATTTATTTACCATAGTTTTTTGAGTTACCAATATCAGAAATTTGTTTATATAAAGTCAGATATTCTTTAAAACGAATCTTGAAATGTATAATTCTTATCTGTAAAAGAATCCATTGTATATATAACTATATATAATTCTATCTAAAAGGGTGTTGGATGAAAGTCAAACGAAGCAGTTTCTTTGAAACTGGTTGAATACTAAGTAAGTGGCAAGGCTTTCGACGTTGTACACTTGCGGCCTCTCCATGCCTCTTCATTTTAACGAAACTTGATTTAGCATTAAATTAATTTTGAGATAAGATTACAGTAGCTTAATGAACATGTATTTATCTATAGGCATGGGTGGCTAAAATTTAAGTGTTAGGTATTTATCAATTTAAAAATAACTATATGGTACAAATTAAATGTACGATTTATTTTAGAAAAACTTATAAATTTTTGCCATCATGTTACTAGTATAATTTTATGTTATCTCTAGAAACAGTTTTGTCTATATCTATGAACCTGCCTACGAATCGATATCAAAAGACAATAAACATGTCCAACAAAGATCTATAAGGACATTGTTGTATTCAGTCAGCAAACTTGACCTTTTGCGATGTTTATCACGTTTTAGGGCCAATCTTATTTATTGACACACAATCCAGTTTAAGGATATTCAAAATTCGGTTGTATTCGTCGATTTCTCGAGCTGATTGTACTTTAAGCATAATTTTCATTCTAAAATTATTTCTTATACTTAAGAGAGTGATGACATTTCTATTTTGTATAAAAGGTAACTCCTGGTTCACGAACAAATATAGGTATCCACTTATTCTACTTATTACAAGAAGGTTTTGTAAGAAAGTGAACAATGAAACATTGTGGACAGAGGGACCCAGACTCAAGTCAGCTTAAATTGCGTGAATAAATTATTACTTTCTTTTAATACATCAAGACATTTATTATTATATTATTCGTTTACTGTTCACCTCTGAACATAGGCCTTCCCCATAAGAGGAGTTTTTTCAGGGGTTGCCATGCATGTAAGACGGGTTGGCAACCGCAGTTAGGCTTTGGTAATATTTTAAGAGGGACGCTGCTTTCCATCCCTCGAACATCGAGTTCACTTAGTCGCCTTTTACAACACTCATGGGAAAGGATGGAGTGGCCCATTCTATGCCGGGACCACACAGCTATTATTCATATTATACAGTATATTATGTATTTATTTAATACAGAGTTTAAAAGCTCGTTGAAAAATCATTAAGGTGTGGATAGTATGTACATATCTAGTAAATAGTACAACAAACCAGCTGTGGTATAGTTCTATATTTTTTATAACATACTATCGACTCTGCTGGCTGTGTACGAGCTCAATTACGAGTATCTACTTTACAAAAGTTTAATTAAGATGTATTGTACATACAAACTGTGGTGGGCGTCTTTTTAAGAAAACTAGTAACATAATACCAATATTCAATTTAAGGGAATGAAAAGCCCCCTAATAAGGGGAGAGCTATGTTCGCAGTGGACAGTAATGTTTTATATGATGATGACGGTGATGATGACGATGAACTCACACGCACAACGGCCCAAATGGGAGGCTAAGTGCGGAAAACAGAGTCTTTCTTACATGATGATGACGGTGATTCAATTAAAAACAATCGCTTACGAATATTAGAGAAGTCATACATAAAAGTATCATATTAAATATCTATGAAAAACAATCTCGTAATACAAAACTACATAAAACGTTTGACTGACTAAGTTGTCAGCAATTGTTTTGTAATTGTATAAATCTTCAATAAAAATTATCTAAAGTCAGTGAAGCTAGTATTAAAATGTTGTATCTGTTAGTAGTTTAGATCTAATATAACAGAAATAATGTCAGTGTTTGAAGATGATTTAATTACAGTTACTCAATCAGGTGCGAATCATTAAACAAATTATGAGCAAATTTCACAACCAAGTGATTATGGCGGTAACTAATTGCCGTGAGATAATTGATTAATTAATTAATTTCTTCTATTAAAATGAATGCAATATTCAATGACTTCAATTTCATAGTTGATTAGTTACCTGTGTAGACAACATCAGCGCTCGGGTATAATCGAAGGCGTGAGCGAACCACGATTCGTCGTTGGGTCCACACAATACTAATAAGTTCGTGATGCCCAGCAGTGGGATCAGAACTAGGAGCGCCTTCGTCGCTTTCCGGTATTGCTCAGTTTCAAGAGTGTTCGCTGACCGCAGTTTCGTTATAAGGACCTGTGTCACAGAAGAAAAAGATATATACAAAGTTATTTTAATAAAATACTAACTTATTTCTAAATATCTATATATTAAATTAAAACCGATTGAAACGATAAAATGAATTGTAATACTCTGTATATATAATTTTCGTAGTATACATGAGATAGGTTTTAATGATTGCAAATGGAATGCTAACTCCGCCTGAGTTATCGGTATACGCGGGTGGGGTTTCAGTGAGGGATCATAGATGAGGATGAAAGCCGGCCAGTTGGCCTATCGAGACGTATTCGAAAAGAATTAACTACGATAGTTTCCAGACGGAACTGCGTGGATTTCGATGTTATGGTATATTGCCAGCAATGGAGGTCCTAAACTTCGTTATCCTCTTTCCCTCCGCATGAGATGGTTTATGATGGATGAGAAAAGAAAATTATATAAGTATTAAGACCTCTGACAATTAGTCTATCGCTCACTACGTAAGAAACATGGTTTAAAGATTGATAAACAGGTTCTTTTATTTAGTTTTTTTTTTTATAAAATACACATCTTTGTGTTCCAGAGGTTATTATAAGGTTTCCTGAGCTAATTAAGGCTCATACGGTCCCAATGATCGTTTATTCAAATCTGTTTGACACTAAATAATAAAATTGTAAGTCAATTAAAGTTTCAAACTAACTTTTGGTAATGGAAAATGCAATAAACAAACCTAATTGAGACATGGCGTTATAAGCTTACTTAATTTGGATCCAAATATCCTCGTTGAAACATGAACAAACAAGTAGCAAGTATTTTGTCGTTTTCTTCGAAATTTCTGGATATTATTTCTGAGAAAGTATTTCGGTTGATATACCATGTAAAACATCGTACACGTAGGTACTTACTTCTAATATTGAGTATGAATTTATGCTTTAAATAACTCCTTGTGGTAAAAGATAATATTGTACAAGTTAAATTGTTCTGTTCAACACTTATTCCGATCCTTCTGTTCATTATGTTGAATCAGAGTTGAGAAATTGTTACCATCATTAAAAGTTCTTACAACTTATCGGACTTTTGTGATATTCCCTTTTATGTAATTGCATTTAAAAAGAAATCTTTTTTAATACAGGTCACGTACTAGTAACTAGATTTCTAGTTTATAAGTACGTGACCTTTATAGTGCCAGTTATAATAATAATATTTTGTATTTCTCAAAAAAAAAGTGATATTTATTTTGATTAAAAAACTAGACTACTGAACCGATTTCGATATTTTTGCGGGACCAATCTGAAAATAATATTCTTTCAGATACATAATTTTTTAAATATTTCAAATCGATTTCTAAATGATGGAGTTTTGAGGTAACAAACATAAAAAAAAAAAACAACCATATTTAATATTTTTTTAAGTTGATTGAAAATATTAAATACAATAAAATATTAATAACATTGAAATTTAAAAGGTACTATATTAAATGAATAATGACGATATAATTTTTTGAGTAACTTATTCTAAGTTTATTGTTATTTATTTAGTATTTCGAGTTACACTGACTCATTTTGTCATCATAGAATTTATTTTAAGGTGTTAAAAATATACACATTTTTAAATTACCTGTTTTTTATACTTGAGAATATAGGAGCTATCCATTCTGTAGTGTACTTCTTTTTATTTTCGACAAAGAAGATTAAGATACTGTTTAATGGATTAAAATTATATTGTTTAATTCCGCTACTAATACCGCAATCAATTTAACCAGTTATATGGACTTCCGCAGTATCCAATATGCTGTGTTTTTAGCATAGAATGGGCCATTCCTTCTTTTCCCGTAAGTGTCGTAAGAGGCAACTAAAGTTTATGGTAATGATGGATAGCAGAGCCCCTCTTAAAATATCATCATAATCTAACTGCGGTTGCCAAACGTGGCAACTACTAGTAAAACACTCCAAGGGATTCAAATACAAATGTTAGTAATGGGTACGTTAACGTACGGTCCATTGCTCGCAATATACCCTATCAGGTTGACCTTTACGCGGTTTCTCCTGGAAACTATTGGGATTAATTCTTGTTGAATCCGTCACAGTGAGCTAACTGACCTGTTTTCATTCTCACCTATCATCACTCACTGATACCTCGCCAGCATATACCAATAGCGCAGGTGGGGTTATCATTCTATTACCGTCCACTAAGAACTCTTCAAGGGGGAGGCCTATGTTCAGCAGTAGACAGTTAATAGCTGATGTGATGATGATAATGATGATGATGATGACGATATTATTAACCTTTGCCTTTTTCTGTATGAACTAGTACATGAATTATCCTATGTGCTAACTCAGAACAACCTATTTGTGCAACAAATTTTATTAAAGTCCGTTCAGTAATTTTTGCTTGAAAGAGTAACAAACATCGATCTATTCATCCTTTCAACTTTCTGTCAATATTATCTTTAATATAAATATGATTACATGAATAAATTTTAATGGAGAAGAGGGATCCTATGATAATATCTACAGTAAATCGACATAGTTATGGCCAATATAGATTCTCGCTTAATAGTGCGAGTGCGAATAAAGACTTTGTTTTTAATATATCTTTTTTTTTTTTTTTATACGACTTAGAATGGCAAACAAGCTGACGGCCCACCTGATGGAAAGTCGTAACCGTCGCCTATAGACATGAGCAGTACCATGGACATAACAGAGTATACTGTTTCGCCCATGATACGCCCCATGCGTTGCCATTCCTGAGGACTCAGGTGTTATTCCTCTGTACCCAGTAAATTCACGCCATATCCCACCCTTCAAAGCGAAACACAGCCATGCAAACACAACTGCTTCACGGTTGAAACACGAATGAGACAGAGGTACCCAAGCAATCGACTTTTGTACAAAGTCTCCCTCTGGTATCTATCTACTATATACTTACCCACATAATCCTAATGAGGAAAAATAGATTGAGAGCGAGGCCGGCGAGAGCTGGTGCCTTATGGATCCAGTCCACCTGGTGTTCATGCATCCATATGCACATCTTCGATTCACCAGATAGCGCCAACTGTATAAAATACTTAAATTTATTATTGTAATAATTGTTTTATATTTTTTTTTATGGAATTTTTTAGGTCAATCTCATTAATCATCAATCTACCCTTATTCCAATTATATAAATTTTGGGCTTAGTGTAATTTGTTTTTACTACCTGAGGTTTTGACTTTTAGTTTTAAGACGTCAACCCTATTTGGTAATGTGTTTGTTGGTGGTATCCGCTACGTACGGTATGGAAGAAAATATGTAGAAAAAAGGATACTTTTATATGAACACGTGTATAAATATTTTTTTTTATATTTGAAGTGATTTTAACAGAATTTGTACTGAATGATAATAATTCTATCCAGTTTAATATTAGGAAACATTTGCAAAGGTTTTCAAGGAATTATTTATATTACAAGAACTATCAATAATATGGACAAAGCCTTCAAATAGACTCGCCAAACTCTACTAGCACAAGAAATAAGAAAATTTTTATATTTAAATATAGGTATTAAACCCCAGTATGCAAAGACACTATTAATTAAAAAGACGCTCCTTTTAAAGAATCAAAAGTCTCTTAATTAAAAATTTATAATTTTAAAATTTTTTTACTTATTTGCTCTTGTAAAATATTTTATCAGGTTTCAAGATTCTAGAATAACCGCAAGTATACTTTGTACGAGACAGTTACTTGTTACGGCGTTGGAGGGCCATAGCTTTTTATGGACTATTCGATTATAGAGCTTAGTACTTACTTGATATAAATTTTAGATTGATACTTTTATTTGTATTGATAACAAAATATGAGGTACGGTACCCTAATTAAGTAGAAATATAAAGCAATGTTATTCTTACCCCATCTGGTCCGGTGGATGCTACAATGTTTACGAAACATCTCGATATCATCCATATTGTAATAAAAACAGCTGGAGCACCTGTAAAATTATTTTAGTATAATAATATAGATGTATGTTAGTTTTTCTTTTGTGTTTTAATATATAGGTAAAAGATCCGTGTCACGATATTCGTTCAAGCTAATCTCCAAAACCGCTCAACTGATTTTAATAACATTTTGTAAATATTTATTATTTGTTTGTGAGATAGAATAGTTTTTAATCCTGATAAGAGAAAATAGATCTACTAGGTGGCGGTAATGGCAAAACAATGTTTGTTGGGTTAGCTAATATATTGTATATTATGAATAAATAAAACATTCTATAACAGTTATTACGTAAACTTAAAAGTTGATGTTAATATAAATTTATTTTTAAAAAGTACCTACAATTTTGTAAACAAAGCTAATTAACTTAAATACGACTGCCATGTCATTTTTAAATATTTTGTTGTGTCAATTAATTGGTCATAATAGCGACGCTGCTCTGAATTTTTTAGTAGGATAATTTGGTTGAGCGTTATTGAAAGTTTGGAAAAAAGTCTTTCCATTTTTAATATATAATAGAAACGAAAAATTTAAATTTATCAATCTTATAAAGTACATATATATATATATATATATATATATATATATATATAGAATTATATTTTTATATAATTTATTGCTAATAAGCATGCAAACAGATTTCTAATAAAAATAAAATTAAATATATGTATGGAAGTCATTACGATAATGTATAAGAAGTAAAGAAGAATTTGTTTATAATTATGTGTTTATTCTTTTGTTTAATTAATTATCTTTAGGTAATCATTTTATAATAAATAATATTGGAAATATAAAATTAATTAAATTTAGTAATATAAATAATTAATAAACTTACCCCAGCCAATAGTTGTATATACTTTCAATTTAATATTTTCAGCAGTAAAAGTCTCAACTACTAACATATATAAGTATAAACCTGTAACAAAAACATACGTCAGTAAGACTGAAAAATTTTCCAAAGATTGACCAATGAACAAAGTTTATACTCGTATAGATCAGTAATTATTTCTTTTATAAAAATTGTATTGGAAATCAACAGATAGGCTATTGCTCAGTTTCATGAAAATAGCATAGTAATAATATAATTCGTTTGTAGATATGAACAGTATTATAATGTACTTCGAAAAAATTGTAAGGATTTAGGTCTTTTTTTAATGGATGATAATGAAATGGTGGTGGAGAGAGGGATGATAGGTGACGATGACGCTTCACCCATAATTTGACAATAATTAATCATGATGGTTTCCAGGGGGAACTTCGTGGAGGTCGACATGACGGGATATATTGCTAGCAATAGGGATTAATATCCCTATTACTAACCATTCCTCTTCCTCCCAAGATTTAGGTGTTACGCCTTCGTACTTCGTCATTATCAGTCAAATATATATAATATAATATTCAAATACATAGACAGACTGTTAGCGTATCTGTTTAGCAGAAACGTGAGTGGAATAGAATTTAATACTATAGTATAGATACAGTATAGAACTTTTGCACAAAGAACGCTATCTTGTAACAAAAGGGTAACAATAGCTTTTCACATGACTGAAGAATGGAATCTGTATTTTAAGACTTTTTTTTACATTCTTCAAAAACATGACTGAATTATTAATAATATCTTTTAAAATAAGAAAAAAATAATATAATAAATAATATCAGTCTATGCGACGAGGGGATAGATAAATTAAGTTCTGCTTGTGTATGTAACTAAGTTATCGAGAACATCCGTCCAGGATTGTATCGATGTTAGAAGTAGGGAGTTCAAAATTACATACGACAGTATTCCTAAGGGGTTGGTCGTAGCGACTGTTGTGGTTACGGTGATTTAATGCTCGACTTGCCCCTATTTTACAGGAGCATATATTTGAATTCACAACATTGCAGTTGGTGATCCTAGTGCTATGTTTCGTATACATTATTTTTGAAATAGCAGCGCCACCTAATATCAAGTCATCAATTTAATCAGCGAGTTATGGAGAAGACTATGTTTGGAGTTTCCAAATATTTTTGCGGATATCCACATTTCGAATTCAAAAGGAGCATATCTGTGAAAGTACCAAAGTCAGTGATATAGCTCGAAGGATAAGCAAGCTGAAGTGGCAATAGGCTGATCACCCACAATCGATGAGGAAGAAAAGTTCTCGAGTGGTAAACGCAGTGTAGGCGACTTCCTACTAGATGAAGTGACGACCGCAAATGCATTGTAGGGAGTCAGTGGATGCAGGTGTATAAAAAAGGCTAAATAATAAATATAAAAAAGGATACAACCGAATTGAGGACCTCCTTCTTTTTAAAGTTGGTTGAAAATATCAAATAAGTATTCTCTTAGTATAAGATTTATAATGTACATGTGTCTCCATATGAGACTATCAAACAAACCATTGAAAGAGTATTTTATTGAATAGATACTTGCTCTATAATTATATTGATTGGTAACCTATTAGGGCGTTACTGAAGTAATTTATCATTTGATAAATTACTTCAGTAACAAAATAAACAAAATAACATATATTATTACTGTTTATTGCTGTCTTTGATGCTGTTACTAACGCTTTGGCTCTTTTTGATTTATTAAATTACTTACTAGTGATATGAGAGTTGCTATATTTAAATGTAAAAACCCTGATGGATAAAAAAAGGTTTATGTTTTATTTTTTGTAGCGATTGAAGCGTTTTTGTTTGTAAACCAAAAAACTGCTTGTTACGAAGCTAATTTTTATGTAAACACATGTTTACGGGTTTTAAATTAATATATTTTTAATATAATAATGTGTCTGCGTTGTTTTATGCGGAGCAACATTTACTTGTAAGTATGAAATATTTATTCAAACTTAACTAGACCGTGTAGCTAGATAACCTATTTATCTTGGAGGAGGAAGGGATTGTTATTAAAGGGAATTAGTAGCCCCATTGCTAGCAATATACCTTGTCAGGTTGACTTCCACATTGTTCCTCATGAAAACCATTTATAATTGTCTTTATGGGCCCTTCGACTTGATTTGGTTCTCACCTATTATCCCTCACTAGTGACTCGCCAATGAATACCGATAATGCGGGGGGTGTTACAATTTCATTAGCATCCATTTAAAAAAATGCCTATTTATCTGTATTGATGTAAAAGTTGTAAAATATATGGAACATAGTCAAAATATTTGTCTCAACTAGGTTGTACTATTATTTATTTGTTGCTCTTGATACTCAATGTTTTCATTAATTTAGATGGCAAATTGTCAAAATAATATATTTATTGGTCAATATAGTTTCAATATTTTGACAGTACTTAATTCTATAAGTTGTATAAAAAAAAGGTTATGATTTATTAAATAGAAGTAATGTATTACAGAAGGTTTCAACTTTAATTATTCATATTAAAAGCAAAGTTTACCTGATTTATAATGAATCTCTGTTCGTGTTGTAGTAGCCTATTGATTTAATTAATATATTTATTTGCGTATTGACGAAGAAGATCGTGTTAATGGACTACACGATTAATTCGGGTTTATTAATATATTTGGAGTGCTTTTAGTGGTCACTTTACGAGTTAAAGTTTGGTAACAATTAACTTTAAAGTAAAATATATATTTCGACTTTATATTATTTAATATTTATTTATTCTCTTTGCCTCAGATTTCTCTATTATACATGTATCTGTCTATTTATATGGTGTCATAGTTTAAGAAACTATGACACCATATAACCTTTAAGTCATAAATTTCGATTATATGCACAATGTTATAGGCTAATATGGTTAAAAAATATTATTGTTTAATAAATATTTATTTTAAATTTAAGTCACGTAAATTATTATACCTAGTCGATACAATGAAGTTCCATCAAGTAGTCACAACACGAATAGCAGTAAAGCTTTATAAAAGTTTCTTGCATTTCAAAAGGCTTTCCAGTTAGGAAAAAATTCTCCCAAATTCAAATTCTCAAAGAGAGTTGAACAATGAAAAATTCAGTTTTTTTTTTCTAAACACCCAAATAAATAAAAATAAAACTATTTTTATGTGACTAATCTTGTGTATTAAAGAATACTAACAAAGTATAATTAAAGTAATATTTCAATAGAATTATAGTAGTTATTAGTAGTACTTATTAGTATTACTTATTGTTATTAAATAAAAAAGCTCACATTGTTACAAGTTGTTGTAACAAAACAACAATAAATACATATATTTCAGTACTTGCTGGATTTTTTGTTATGCCCTTTATTCCTTAAATGTAATTGTTTATTCTACTGATGTCTGTTTATGACAGTTTTGAAGGGACGTTTCAAAAAATGTCCTCCAATATTAATAAATTGTATCAACCTGTCTTATTTTTAGAATTAGTTATACGTCGAGTAGTCTGAGAAACTAATTGTTTTAGGTCTTTATGCAGATATAATTTAACATATATTAATTAGGACGTACAAATGATATCCCAATTTAATAAACATGATAAAATATTTACACACTTTTAATACAAAATGTTGGAATTGTATACATATTTGTATTTTAGTTGTACGTAATTATTTAATGTTATTCTTTAATTAAATTGCGCGGAGAGAAACAGCAATATAAATAAACCCTCGATAATGCTTTCAAAGGGCGACACCGATCTGGATCAAAACAATAATAATTAATTTGTGAAAATTACAAGTGTTTGTATTTAATTTCAACTTGTATTCAAATTTCTTCCAAGTACCAACCATTTATTTATTTAAATTTTATTGACCAATAAAATGTGGATTTAATGTTATAGGCATTTTCTTTAAATTTTAAGACGTTTAGAAATACAGTCATCGAGCGTTTTGAATTATGGTAAAGTAATTTATAACAAATAATAATAATCACAAGAGTTAATGATTTTTTTAACAATTTAAATTATATAAAACAACGTTCTTCGATCCTAAAATTAGAGTACTCTGACAATTGGATTAATCGTAGAATTGCAATACTCATTTGTGGCCGGTTTGGAAAGTCACAGTTTTTTTAATGTATTTTAATGGAATAACTACCAATTTAACTCACGTGTATTTTTTACGAAAATAGTTGAGCTTAATGGTCGAAGTGAAGTGAAGTCTATACTTACTAAACTTTCAACCATAAATAGTTCTAGTTTTCACTCCTAATTCACTTGTTTCTTGTTTCTATATCTTATGCCCACTTTCTTCGATAATATTTACAGTTTTTATAATATTTTTGATTCATTTAATTATTGCTATTATATTATATATAGTATTTAATATTTTTGTTCGTTACGTATTAGTTAGATATAATATGTACATGTAGAAATTTTTGAAATTAAAACAAAGAATTCTTTTACTGTTTGAAATATAATATAGAAGGACTTTTTCATGTATTTTATCAAGTTAGTTTGTAGTTACAATAAACATAAAAAATATTATTAAAGATCTTACCTTCTACAAGCATCCAGAAGAAATTTGTGAGATAAAAATAATGCATACATATCACTAATATCATGCATGATGTTTGATCTTGTTGTGCTTCATCTGACCAGTTCTAAAAACAAATAAATGTCTTACAATAATAAAAAATCGAATTCATCTGACCTAAATGACTGTATAAAGTGGATAAAAAGGTATTTAATATTTCTGATTTCTGTTGTGATATTCATACAAGTGAATAAACAATTAATACTTTTAGTATTTTTTTTCAAAATTAAGTTTCAAGTAGTACTCATGCTTTTCGTAAGTTAATTTAAAACATAATTAATTGTACCTACTTATCATTAGATTACTGCTTACATAAAATTTCAAAAGCAATGTTTGCTACGAATATATGTCTAGATGTAGAATATTTTACCTTTTCGCTGTAGAAAAAAGTTTAATTGCTTCATATATTTTATATAGGTAACAGGTATTGAATAATTTATTTTCAAATTAAACATTCTGAATAGATAAAGTGATTTTAAGTTGTTCTAAATAGAGTTACCTAAATATCCTGCAGAATTTAATTTTTCAGAGTTTTTCATTTGATTCCCCGGGGTAAACACTTGTAATATTAGACATACAGTTATTTACTTTAGCTTATGAATTAATAATCTTAAAATTTCATAATTAGTTTTTCTTATATATTAAATATAATACAACAATGATTTCTTGTGTTATAAAATTTAGTTTGCATGAAAAATATATAATTGTATATAATGTTCATAATTTCGTGCTACATCAAGGGAATACTAGAGTAGAAAGGTCACGTTTTACATTACAAATTCAAGATTTAAAAGTATAATCTGAAGCTAGCTTGAAACAGGAATGTTGTAAATGGATTTTTTAATATTCTTAACAATTTTAAATACACTATCAGGATTTAATGACGTAGTGTAATACATGTCAAAGGTTGGTAATAAAAATCTGGTATGTAGGTACTATTTACTTGCAATTGCGTCGCATTAAGTCCCGATAGTATATTTAGGCTACAATAGCTAGACTTTGGTAAAATATCAAGAGGAATGCTGCTACCTATCCCTCGACCATTAAATTTCCTTATTCGCTTCTTATGACACCCATGGGAGAGGAAGGGGTGGTCCATTCTATGCTGGGATCACACGGCTTTTTTACTTAGTTGGGTATAATTTGACATTGAATATGAAATGTATTTCTTACCTGTAAAGCTAAATTTAAGATCCAACTACATGCTGATAGTATATATGTAGACATTAAATTTGTATGTATTGTATTCCTTAAACATCTTAGATCCCTGAAAAATAAAAGAATAATTAATTTTTTATTATCAATTTACATGAACGTTTTATATATAATATAAATACGAAATTTAGAGAAATAAATTTATTAATTAAAAAACTAAAGATATTGTATTTATACGAAAGCTAATATATACTTTGGTTAAGAATTTCTAAAATTTGAATTCGACGCAAATATTATTTTTGTAATTTTACAAATTCTATTATATCAAAAGTAATTTTATTTTATTACGGTCTGGTTCAGCGAATATTTTAATATCTATGTTGATAATAAATTTGCAGTTTCAACCAAAAATGGTGACGTTGGCTCATATTTTATGATACTTCGCATTCCGTAGTCGATAGTAAAAGTTGAAATGTTAATTTTAAAAGTTAATTTGAGAATCTCAATTTATTGGAGTGACAAAGGATTTTTGGACAAAAAACATATGTAAATGATGATATAATTGTATATACTACTACTACTTGTACCTTACTTAAATTGAGTTGTTAGATACGAGTATCTACCAGTATGTATTGGAATACACTTTTACAGTTAATCTTATAACGTGTGACTGGGCAGATCGGTGACGGTTTATTGCTTTCCAATCATTCTAGTGGAAATATTATGATTTGATATCAACTTGATGATATTGTACACTTACTATATTGGTATGTTATATATATTTATTAAAATTCTACAAGTTTTTTTTAGATTCATTTTCTTATACAAAAATCATATCCAATAGTAATTGGAATTATTAAACGAAGTAATTGTCATAGAATAGGGCAAGAGTGGAATTTATAAATAACTGTATATTATAGATCCGTATATATAGATAAAAAAAACAAGACATTATATTTTTTACAAATTTTATAAGAACAGTGTGACGTATTTGACTACGAACTTCATCGGATGGTTGGAAATGAGTGCAAAATTTGGTTGAATGAGCTCTATTTTATGTTCCGTTTTTTAATTCTCCATCTTGTCCATTGTGCTGGATGCACATTCTTTTTGTTCATCAAGCTGATGTTTGTATACTTTTATGATTTTTAAGTTTGTCGAATAATGAAATTGTATATTCATTAGTAAAGAACATTTATTAGTAACACTTACTTAAAATATAAGAAAACGAAGACGGCAAGTGAAAGGACGGCCAGGCTGAGAGAATAACCCGCCAAATATATAAGACTGGTGACGTCAGTCGGCGATATATTGGCAATTCGTTCTGTACAATTATCGTAGTCTGAGTGGTTGAACCATTCACCATTTGGCAGACAAATCCGTGATGCGCTTTCTGAAACAGAAAAGACCAAGTTTAAGACTAGTTTTAAAACCTGAATTTAATATGAATAATCGAACATTTTAAAATAGGTAATTTTCTTTGGAAAATCGCTGCTTTGGATTAGTTTTAATAGATGACGTTGTAAATGATACGAAGTTCACCAGGTCAACTAGTAAACTAATAAAAATATTTGTGTACCAATGAGAGGAATGTCAACGTAAATATACTTATGACCTACTATCTGGATGTTTACAAAAATAAATTAATATCGAAAAGGTCCCAATTACATAAAGAATGATAGTTCACGGATATCAAAACTTAATCTTACCATATGTAGGAGACCTATCCTTTTATCTATTTTATTGATTTATGGTGAAGGACTAAAGGGATTGCGTTAGGATGTACATTTTTAACCAATATGATATTTTTTATTCGAAAGGATATTCCATTAGATTGGTCCCATAAAAACTTTATCAATATCGGTTTAGTAGTTTACGTTTTAGACCAAAATAATTGGTTTTGTCACAATTGAAGTTTTTTACCTTTAATTATTAATTGGCATTATGTAATTTGTAAACAAATTTCACTGTTTGTAAAATTTGTAGAAGTCGAGCATCTATAAGGTGGATAACAATTCTACAATTCAGTAGGAGTAATATACCAAGAGTTCATCCACAAAGTACAAATTCGTGTGGTTTGGAAAAGGGTGGTGGCATAAGCTACATATCATAATCACATTCTCTAGCTATGGGTATACAAAGATTAATTTGTAAAAAAAAACTTCTACATAATTTTGTTTATATTAAATATATGTTTATTTAATACGCAGTTTTCTTACAATTTTATTTTTAATCCTAGCTAATATCAGTTTCTTTTTATGTAACATCAAGTATAAAAAAGGTGCTATGCTTATTACGAGTAGAGACTTTACCCACTAAAATATTAAATTGTTTTCCAAGGATCTCCTAAATCTTCTTGGGATAAAACCTAGAGATTTTATAAAGGTATTCAAAATTGCATAAAGATTCGTTGAATTGTTGTAATATTAGAAATAATTTGGCTATATATTTATTTTACAAAAAATATTAGTTAATTGTATTTACAATAAAGTATAGTAAATATACAGCCCTTGTGAGATCTGTTGGCGAAAATGTAAACATGTGTACTGTGTTGATGATGATAATATTTCAAGGAGTTGTTCTACCGAATCTGAACATTTTCACCAAAGAAACATTGATAAAAAAAAAAAACGAAAAATGTTGAGTCTTCCAAACTAATGTTTTTGAATTTATTAATACACGAAATTGCACTAATATATACTCTTATACATATATGGTACACAACCAATTTCTTAATATGTTTTTTGATTTGTATATAGGTATATATCTCTTGCCGTGTGGTCTCGGCATAAAATAGGCCACCCCTTCCTTTCTCGTGGGTATCGTAAGAGGCGACTAAGGGAGGGCGAGGGATGGGCAGCAGCGTTCCTCTTAAAACATGTCGAAAGCGTAATAGCGGTTGCCAATTCGCCTGCCAAACGTGGTAACTACTGGCAAAACTCCCACAAGGAGGAGGCTTATGTTCAGCAGTAGATAGTTAAAGGCTAATGTGACGATGTATCTAGTGTGGAAGTTGGTAAAAGTTGTGCTCGTGTTTCTGTATCTTACGTATGATACAAGTACATAATGTTGATGCTCTAACCCAGCCTTTCCCAAAGTGGGCGATAACGCCCCTTTGTGGACGCTGTAGGCCACAAAGAGCGGTAAGAGACCCAAAAAAAAAATGGAGGCGTTGTGTAGAGGTTCAGGGGGTGATTTGTTGATCTTGAAGTAATAGTGGTCTTTAAGTAGGTGCAAAAATGGGAGCGCTATAAAATAATTTATTCTCTAAATGGGCAGTAGACAAAATAAGTTTGGGAACCCCTGCTCTAACCACTATTGTCTTTGATTGTGTCTAATAAATTAAATTGCACTGGCACTCTGGATACTACTGTCGGGCTATCGCCACATATCTTTGATACCTATCTATATGGAAATTGTGACAATTAAATAGCTAAGACATTGTGTATACATATGTAATTTATAGGGTATTTGTTTTAAAAAGTTGTGAAAAAATATATGTTATACTAAAAAGTGATATGTGTTATATATATATATATATATATATATATATATATATATATATATATATATATATATATATATATATATATAATTAAATAATACATTTACAAGTGTTGTTTTTTCTTGTTATTTATGTAATTGTGAGTTTAATATTTTAGTTATTGTTGGATTAATAAGTAAACAAATAAAAAATATTGGGTATATAGTATAAAGTCGATTGTTTCGGTACCTCTGTTTCATTAGGAATGGCAACGCATGGGAGGTATCATGGGCGAAACAGTATACTCTGTTATGTCCATGGTACTGCTCATGTCTATAGGCGACGGTTACCACTTTCCATTAGGTGGGCCGTCAGCTTGTTTGCCATATTTTATATTGCTAAGTTGTATAAAAAAAAAGATATTCAGTTTAAATGAATGAAGTACAAATGAATAAGAATTTCGATTTTACTCTGTAGATTAATATACATTAGAAGTGCTTATAAATTGATGTAGTTCATAAATTTCTTACTAAATGCGGAAGTAAATTTGTTTGTTCATGTGTAGTTTTGTTACCTTTTAGTACTGCAACGATTTCACTAATCACTATGAAATTTAATATACATATACTACATGGGATATTTTTTTTCTCAGTCAGTGAACAAATCTTCGCGGTTACATTGACGAAGTCGTGCGTAAAAGCTTTTTTATGCAGTTTAGAATGGCAAACAAGCTGACGGTTCACCTGATGGAATGTGGTATCTGTCGTCTATAGACATGAGCAGTACCATGGCCATAACAGAGTACACTGTATCGCCTATGATATCCTCCATGCGTTGTCAGTCCTGAGGACCCAGGTGTTATTTCTCTGTACCCTGTAAATTCACTGCCATATCCCACCCTTCAAACTGAAACACAGCTATGCAAACACAACTGCTTCACGGTAGAAACACAAATGGGACAGAGGTGCCCAAGCACATGACTTTTGTACAAAGTTTCCGTCTGGTAGTTAGTAACTAATAAATCATTAGCCAAATATCTTAGTGAGTGTATCAAGGATAATACTGTTCATAGATAGAGTACTTAATATCCTGAACTAACGGTGCTACAGACTGTGAATAGATAATAGTTTAGCAGTAATTTCTACGTTCGGTTAGTTATTGTTCTTAATAAGATTTGATCTATTGGAGTGTCCTATTAATTCTGTTAATATTTTACATTTCAAAGCTGTAAAGATGTTTGGATAATAATTACTTAATTACACACAAAATATTGAAGGATTTTGAAGAAAATTTAACACATAGATTGACGACAAACTGCGGGATAAAGCTAGTTTATTTTAAATTGCAAGTCATGATCACTCACAATACATGACTATGGTCGCACTGGTTTTTATACTCAAACCAAACACAATATTGCTTTTTCAATAACAGAAGATGATTTACCAACAGTAACAGGAGATTATTGACTGGAATAAAAAGTAATTTATCTTTCTCTATACCAAATGTTACGCATGTACCAAAATTCATAAAGATATATTAAAATGTTAAAACGCTAAGGGATAATAGACAAACAAACGCAATTTTACATTTATTTATAAGTATTAGACGGAATTTTAAATTGTTGGTGTGTTAATAAAATTTACGCACAGGTTTTCGTACCGCCGGGTAAACTTTTGGTTTGGAGTATTCTCAAGTATATTCTGTATCTAATACAAGACATGGGTTCGTCATAGTAAAAAGTAACAAACATCGTTGATACAATGATAAGATAGATGCTCTTTATTATTTCCTCCAAAAGATTACAATAGTAAACTTATTATAGATATAAACAATTTTACAAGGAATGATCACAATAAGAAAACAATGGGCAGCCTTGTCGCTGAAAGGTGTAACGGAGTATTGAAAAATGTGGCCTATTTTATTCTAGGAGTTAGAACGATTGTTTTTGTCTTTTATTGTTATAAAAGACAAAATTTTATTATATTATATTATATTTTATTTTATGTTCTAAAAGCACGATGTGATATTTCATAACAACGATTATATCAGCTACTGTTTCTGATAGTTAGTACATTGACTTTATTATTATCAGAATATTATAAGATATTCCTATTTAAAGCATGATATTCATCATTATCATTATTTCAGCCGTTAACTGTCCATTGCTGAACTTTTGCTGCTGCTGCCTTCTCCATACGGGAAGTTTTGCTAGTAGTTGCCACACTTGGCAGGTGGGTTGGCAATTGCAGTTAAGATTTTAGATATGTTATGAGAGGGACGATGTTGCCGATCTTTCTACAATTAAGTTCCTTTAGTCATTTCTTACGACACTTACTGGAAAGGAAGGGGTGGCCTGTTCTTTGTCACACGACTTTGTCCGCGTATTATTTACATATAGACGAATCAAAATGGCCCATTTAGATTGGTAGGCCTAGTTTGAATTTTAAGTATCCCTTTTAGCCCCTTACCAAAAAATATTTTTTAATTATTTTCATTGTAATATATGCGGGTCAACAATAGGTAAATTTCCAATTATTATTATTAATACATACATACATATCTGTCACGCCTGTCTCCCATTAGGGTAGGCAGAAACAATGGAACGCCAAATGCTTTGATTTAAACAAACCTCTTTCGCTTCTTCCACATTCATCAATCTTTTCATACACGCTCGCCGGGTACTTTTAATTTGGCCCTTCTTCAGCACGTCGCCTATTTGGTCGACATACGTCCGTCTAGGGCGGCCCCTATATTAATAGTTGCTGTGATATAATGCTATGGTAAACGGACAGATGGACGGGCGGTCAAAGTCGCACTAAAAGGGTCCCTTTGTACCTTATTGATAAGGAATCTTAATTAAAAA